CTTGCAGAAAGGTCTGGAGTGCGCCCTGCGTCTTAGCTCCTGCTTTCTCCTCCAGGGAGCTGCGTCTTTAACACAGAGAAGCTCCCAAGGCCTCCAGTGTGTTCTCCGGGGGAGTTTCCTCCCCGCTGTTGTCAGCAAGTGCCCAGGCTGAGCGCCCTCTGAGGCCAACAGGCAGCCTCAGCAGAAGCCCTTTCCAGGGCTTTTCCCACTGCGACCAGGAGCAGCAGGGAGAAAGGATGGGGAAAGAGGCCCCCTCCACCCCCCCACCCCCGCAGGGGCCACCTGCCGGGTGCAGGATCAGAGGGAGGAGACGCCTGAGCAAAGACCAGGTGTGGGCGCAGCGGCGATTCCCGCCCAGACGGCCCTGCAGCCTCCGGCCTCCAGCCGCGTGTCACACCCTGGGGCAGCGGGCTAGGACGACAACCACGGTGGAGGGAAAATTAGACACAGGGTTCCCACAATCAGTGCCCAGCCAACCGGCCGGCCTACAGAACCGCCCGGGGGAGCGGGGAGCAGGGGTGCTGAGCTGGGTGGGCACTCGGTGCGAGACTTAATTAGACCGAGAAGCATGTGCAGGGGGTGCACGTTGCCAACATTCCTTCTTAGAAGTCCTATTTCCATTAACATTCAGCAGCATGAGAAAGGGAGAGACTGCTGTAGATTAAAGCGGGCAAGGTGGGATCCCCACTCAGTAAACCAACTATTAAAGGTACATTTTTAAAGCCACCGAAGGAGATTGGAATATAAATTGCTTACTAGATGTGATTAAAGAATTATTGTTAATTTTGTTGGGTTGGATAAGAGCGTTGTTCCTGTGTAAGAAAATGCTCTTCCTAGAGATGCACAAAAAACATCTCTACAATGTCATGGTATCTGTGGGTTACTTCAGCAAAAAATGATAAAACGGATATGGTCAAATATTAAAAGGTGATCAATAGAATTGACAACACATGGGGCCTCAGTAAGGCCTTTCTGATGTTGTCTTTTCTGAAGAACAGAGAGGTCAGGGGGCATCGGGCCTGTCTCAAGTTCAACCCAGCCCGTCAATCAAAGGGTGGGGTTAGGGTACAAGGAAGGCACAGCTCAGGGACTGGGCCCACGTGGGAGAAGTGTGGGCGACCGTGGACGGGTGCGGTGGAAAGGCCACGTCCCCGAGCCAGGAGCAGCGACAGGCTTGGGGCTGGCAGGAAACTAAGACACCAAAAGCTGAGCACATGCTGGGCATCGGAGAGGCCTGGCGGCTTGATGCGGGAAGAAGGAAGTCAGCCTGGCCGGGCGGAGCGGGCACAGCTGCCCGAGGACGGGAGGACTCTCCTCTCTGGACACACGGCCCCATCCCAGAGGAGCAGCTGGCACCAGAGGCGGCGGGGAGCCAGCGTGAGCCCACCCGCGGCCTCTGCCCCTTGGGATGGGCCGAGAAGCACAACCCTGCGGGGCTGGACTGCTGAGAGCCCCGATGTCGCAGGGGACTTGGTGGGAGGAGCCCGCGCCGCCTGTGGAAGGGCTGTCTGCCCGATTCTGCCGGCCCTGCTCAAGCTGCTTCTGTGATTCTGCATAATTACGATAAGCCCTGGCCGAGCAGGTGGATGTGCGGAGAAAGCTGATGCGTGACTCTGAGCTCCGCCAGAGGTGGCCTTGCTGCTGTGGAATGACCCAGAATATCCCGCACGCCCTGACCGCCTCCTACCCACGTTCCCAGAGGCCTCAATAGAGTCCAGGGACTGCCTGACGACGCGGGTTCCCTCCCATTTGCTGGTGAGGGGACAAGCCATGCCTTTAGGAGGCTACGTGTCGGGGCTCTGCGGGCTGGGGAGAACCGGAGGGCCACAGCGGGAGGGTGACCCAGACCCCGCACTGTCCCTCCAGGCTGACCTGAGCCTCTCCCCGAGCTGCATGTTCTCCTTAAAGAAGGTGAGGAACCCGAGGGCTCCCCGGGATTCTCTGCACAAATCAGAGACCCAGTGACACAGGGGCGGCCCACTGGGGGCGACAGCTCCCTCTGCTCCTGGTGTTGCGGGGGTGGGGGAGGCGCCTGGGAGCTCACAGGGGACCCTGGAGGCCCCGCCCCACCCCTCTTCTCCAGCCCTTCAAGCTCCGCCTTCCCCACAGGCGCCTGAAAGCGTCTGCTATCAGCAGCTTCCTCCCGGGGCTTCTGCCCAGAGTTCCCTGTGCAACGAGCGCAGACCCACCCTCTGTCCTGGAAAACCACAGCGAGCCGTGCTCTGCAGAGCCTCCTGCCGGCAAAGGGAAGGACACGGTTTTCATTCGCTGAGCACCTACCTGGCGCCGGCAGGGCTCCAGGCCCTGGGGAAACCAGGCAGATGCTGTGCACCCAGACTGTCTAGTTGCAGGGTGCATGTCCGGCCGGGGCCAGTGGACAGGGCTCCATTTTTAGTGAAGCGGAGTTGACATACAATATTATATTTGTTTCCGCTGTACAACAGAGTGACTCGTCATTTATTTACCTTCCGACGTGATCACCCCATAGTTACCATCTGTTGCCATATGAAGTTGTTACAATATTAAGGACCATGTTCTCTAAGCTGCACTGTACCCCCCCACCCATGGCTTGTTGATTTTATAAGTGGGAGTCTCGACCTCCTATGCCCCTCGCCTGTTTCACCCCTCCCCGACTGCCCCCCCCCCGGCTGCCACCAGTTTGTCCCCTGTGTCCACCAGTCCATCTCTCCAACAGGACAAGGGCAGGATGGGATGCGGGCCTTCCTGGAAAATCCCCACAGAGGGGCCCCCCAGGAGGGACTCACTTCTCCTGCCAAGCAGCCACATCCAGGGACCCTGAAGAGGCCACCCCAGAAGGCGGCACCTCCCACTGCTTTAACCCAGGGAGAAGAAAGGAGCCTGAGGTGAATTTTAAGGTGTTTGAGAGAAAGCCTATGTGGCATGGGAGTCCTTAACCTGACTCTCCGGTGGTAACGTATGGAGTGCCCGGGACAACCCTTACGTGGGACTGAGATCCCCAAAGCAAATGCCATGTAATAAGACCATTTTTCTGGTTACCAGATACGCCCCTAAAGCCTGTAGGTCTGAAAAATAAAACGACCTGTTGCATGGTGAGTATAATGTAGCCCTTTAAATTTAGGCAGCTGCATTATATTTGAAACATAAGAGGGAATCAGTTTGCAGCCCTTGGGTTTTAAAGAATGGGATGGCGTGGGGACTCGTACCTGGTCAGGGAGCACTAGACCAGCCCCGCCGGGCCGACGGGGGCAGGCTGGCAGCCTCCGGGCAGCCTCAGGGTGGCCGGACGTGTGTCCGCTGAGTTTGCCAATGGAAGCTCTGGTGATGGAGCTCCCTCGTGCCCTTGACTGGGCAGGAGGGACCGCTCTTCCTCCAGGACCCACAGGCTGTCAATACAGATCCTTGTCCTTCTCCGCCTTCGGATGAACTGAACTCCCCCCAGCAGTGGCGAGGGCCCGGAGCCCACCGCCCTGCTGTTCGGAGCCCACCCCTGGTCCCCCACTGGGCCTTGGGGATCTGAAGGCAGCGCGACCGCTGACTGCTGGTCTGCCACAGCTAGGAGTCTGGCTCCTACGAGGAACGTTCAACCAGCTCTACTTCTGGAATTCGAAAGTGAATCCTTAATCAGAGGCCCAGGCGTGCCTGTGTGCTTTCTCTCCGGTAGCTCTCCACAGTGTGCAGAAAGTGTGTGCGCCCCTCAGATTCCTATGTTGATCCCTCACACACACGCCCCAGGGATGGCGGTGGAGCTGAGGCCTTTGGGAGGTAATTAGGGTTAGATGAGGTCATGAGGGTGAAGCCCCCATGAAGGGGGCCTTATAAGAATCACAAAAAGGCCCTGGCCAGTGTAGATCAGTTGGTTACAGGAGCAACATCCTGTAACCAAAAGGTCACAGGTTTGATCCCAGGCAGGGCAGATACCTGGGTTGTGGGTTTAATCCCTGGTCCAGGTGTGTGAGGGAAGCAGCCAGTCGATGCTTCCCTCTCTCACTGATGTTTCTCTCTCTAAAAGCCATGAAAAAAGTGTCCTTGGGTGAGAATTTTTTTTTTTAAAAGACTCATGAAAAGGCTCCATTCCTTTCTGCCATCCATGTCAGAATACAAACGAGAAGCCAACTGCCTGTGACTTTAAAGAGGGTCCCCACGAGAACCCAGACATGCTGGCACCCTGATCCCAGACTTCCAGCCTCCAGAACAGTGAGAAATAAACGGCCGTTGTTTACGAGCCGCCCGGGCTGTGGCGCTTTGTTGCAGAAGCCGGAGCTGACTGAGACGCTAACCTTCCTCTACGCTTCATGTCTGAATCTTGTGCATGAGAACCAGCTCTGTCCCTCCCTACCCATTCGGACACGAGGCTATGGCATCTAATTTCTTATCCACCAGAAGGTCCCTGTGCTCAGCTCTGAGCACAACTAACCTGAATTGCATTTCCTCCCAAGCTATTTGTCAGGTAAGAATCCCCCTCAGCGAGAATTTTCCTTTAGACTCAGCAGACGCTGAGGCGGGCAGTGCAGCCATTTCTCCTGCCCCAAGGAGAGGGAGAAAGGCCCCTTCTCCCAGCAGCCCGCCCTGGTCCCTCCTGGGAGGGCTGCAGCGGGCTCCCTTCTAGAAGGCGGCTGCCTGGAAGCCGCTCAATCTTTCAGAAGCTTCCCCTCTAAAGAATTCATCCCCAGTTTCCATCTTTCTGCAGCTTTGCACCAAGTCATTTCCCAAGAACCTCTTCTTTCCTAAGGTGGGGAAAGCCCAGCCTACTCCCCTGATTGCATATCACAAGAGAAAGGCCAAACCATTTTGGCTCCCAGCTTCGATTGATTTCCGTCCCCGCTCCCCACTGGGCCCTGGGGTCAATTCAGCGCTGCTGAAAGAGCTCCCCAGATGCTCCAGCGGGAAGACAGGCAGGGATCTCAGGGAACAATGAGAGGCAAGGCAGGTATGAATGACCGATGAATGCCATTTGAGGACAAACGTTCACAAAATGGTACAGGAGGGGAGGAAAGAGGCAGGCACGCTGGCGGGGAGTGTCACCGAAGTCCACAGCCCTGGCTCAGGCCAACACACAGCACAGCCTGCAAAAGAAGGACACCAGGTGAGCTTCGGCTCCTCCGGGAGCCACCGTGGCGGTACCAGATGTCCTCCCACCCCCACGAATGTGCGCCTGTTCTGTCTCTGCCCCCAGCAAGCGCCTTGTTCAAGGAGAGGAGGCCCCTGACTAAGACTCCAACCCTAAGACAGAGCACTGTCGAAATGTGACTCAGGAAAAGCTTACATGCAAAGGAACTTCCAAAACTAGGTGCGTGTGTGTGTGTGTGTGTTCGTATATATGTAAAAAAATGCACGTGCATATACTCAATGTCAGGTTCAACATTGTTGTCCGGTATTCATAGGCACCCACAGGTGTGATTCTAGGAAGGGCTTCCCTAGATCACTAGAGGGGGTCAATGGCATTCACATTTTAGAGAAGACGAGGGAGTGGCTGGGTCCAGGCAGCCTTGCAGGGCCAGGAACCGCCTGCTCCTCCAGTTCCTCGGCCTCAAGAGCAAGTCAACGGCAGCGCCTCCCTCGTAGCCCCAACCCTCGGGACACTCCCCCTCTGCCCCCCGGCAGGCAGGGAAAGGCCCACAGGGGAGGTGCTGCCTTGCGGCCTGCCTAAGACATCGTGTGACCTGCACACAAGGAGACATCGTTTTGTTTGCATCTTCACTCTGTTCTATTGCAATTTAGTTTGTTTCTGGTGTGTTTCTATATGTCGATTAAGACATCTGGTCCTAAAGTGATACACTTGCAATTGTACCCACCACCCACACTTTCATTTAATTAACAGGGGTTTGTCCCCTTGAAATGATCCAAAATATAGGGGTGAGTTTATAATAATAATAGTAAATAGAAATGTTTAAAAGACTGCAGGACGCACAATCACATTCCTTCCCGCAATGCCTGCCACAGAGCGTGTGTCTTACCCACGCGGAGGAAGGACAGGTCAATGTGAATAAACACCACTCAGGACCTGCACTGGCCAAGAATTTCTAAGGCCTATCAGCAAGCAGTTCATCAAAACTCAAGTCACTTACTTCAGCCAGAGAGAGCGACACAATGCCATTCCGGTCCTTGTCCAGAAGCTTGAAGAGTTCTGGAACACCAGAAAAGGCATGAATTAATAGGGATTAAATAATTAAATTAAATAAGTAAATTAAATATTTTCTTGGACACTCCATCCCCACCTGGTACCCGCCTCCCCCAAGCTCCCATGTAGCTGCAGGGACCCTGAAAACCTGGACTTGATCCAGTGCCAGGGTAGGGGCTTGGGGCATCTGAAGCCCCCTGCCCAGAAGGACAGATGTCCAGCTGTAAACTGATGGTTCCTTTGTCACCTCCACCCTCCAAAGCTCTAGCAACTTGCAATTATTTCTTTTCTAGAAACTTTCATTCTTTCAGGGGCAAAGCAGGGCAGGGGGTCGTGGAACAGATAGATGAGGGCCGCTTGCGTGGGTAATCCAGTCCCTTAGCTCCATCTCTGGCTGCCTGAGTTTTTCCCATTAGAACTGACTGACTCCCAGCCTCCGTGGAGGGGAAAACCCTCTCCCTTAATAGGACAACACAGCATGAGCCCAAGGCCCACGAGGGAAGGAGAACACCCACTGCCTTCCAGAGGGGGACCCACATCCCCTCCCTGGGAGGTGACACCTGCTCTCTGTGTGACCCCTATGGAGACACAGATGTGAATAGCCACTAGAGGCCATTTAAGGACCACGACCTGGACCCATTCACCATGGCCCAGTGACAGCACATAGTAGGTGCACAATAATCTGGATGGCGGTTCTTTAGGTCCCCAAGAAAAAGCAGCCTCTACTTTGGACGTGGCCAACTGGGACTTCCTCAGCCCCTCCAGCTTCCGCTTCCCATCCCCCAAGGGTGCCGCCATTACTGAGACTGTCTGTCCCACCTCCTACCCCTCCCAGAACCTCAGAGAAGCGCGATGGGGTCAGGGAAGAGGGTGACTCACTGAAGAGGGTCTCCACGTGGATCATACAGGTGACAAAGCCATCAAAGTCGACGCTGAGCTTGCTGCACGCGGCCCGCGTAGCGATGGCCTGCTGCGCCTGGTTGTTGAGCGTGAAGCCTGTGGGCCGAGGGGCCTGGGTCACAGGTGGAGCAGAGGACCTGGCACCGCCCCCAGGAGAAGTCAAGGCGCGGGCCTTGCAGGGACCAGGCCTGACTCTGCCTCCTCCAAGGGACACCAGAAGGGTCTGGTCATCCAGTTGGCCTCCTTTGAGATAAGTCTCAAAGGATAGGCCTCTTCCCTGGTCGTAGGCTAGGCCCGTAGCTCCAACACTAAGCAGCTGGGTATCACATCCATCACAGCCCCACCCTCTGTGGTTGCTGTCACCTTCCCAGTGACAGGCAAAGTCCATGGAACAAGTCTAAAGGGTTTCACTAGACAGACCCTAGCAACATCCCTCCTCCTTCAGTAGGGAAGTTGCCCAGCGAATCTTTGTTGTCACACTGATACCCAGCGTAAGGTAACTACCACCAACGATCATTGGCCATCGTCACAAGATAACACAAAATGGGCACATGCAGGTGCCAAGGCCTTGTCTGCAGACGTGTCCTCACCTGCCTTCTTGAGGGCTGTCCTCATCTCCTGGGCATCAATGGTCCCCGAGTCGTTGTCATCCGTTTCCAGATAGATCTCCTAAGGCAGGAGAGAAATTCCAGGCAGAAAACAACCGTGCCTGGCCCCTTCCAGAACTATCTCCCTCCTCCCCACCACTTCCTCAAGGGGAGACCTCACTGACACCTCCGAGAATTTTTCAGAACCAAGATAAGAGCTTGGCCCGGGAGCCCATGCTTGGCCCTTGCCCTCTGAACAGAGGGGCTCTCAGTAAAGGCCTTGGCACAAGCGTCCCGTGTCGCTTTTTTAGTGATTTCTGAACAATGTGGCCGGGTTCTGTGTTGGTTTTGACCCTGATTAAGGTGCTAGTCAGAGTAGGGCATGAAACAGACTAGGAGTGAGTGTCAGGGACGGTGAGGGGCTAGAAAGAGAACAGGGGAGAGGGACTGGAGCCCAGAGGATGCCCAGCAGGGACAGAAGAGTTACCAGGTATTTCTGAATCTTCAGCCACAGCGTCTTGAATTCCGCAAGTTCCAGGGTGCCCGTCCCGTTGCTCTACACATGTTAAAGGCCAACACGATCAAGCGCAAATTCTACGAGCCGGTTCGAGGCTCCATCGAAAACGGGTATTGACTCATTTTTGCAAGGGTCCCTTTCACGGCTGTGCAAGGGGACTGTGCTCCCAGGTCTCGTTTTTCAGCAAAGCTTTCTGATGTCACTTCTTCTGTCCCGTTCTTAGGTCTAGAACACGGCCCTGGGCTTCCCTGCAGGGTAGAGAGGGATTCTTTCCCCTTCGGTTACAGAGGGAAGGCTTGTGCCTCTCAAAGTCCTCATGCTGAGCGCCCCGCCTTGAGTCTCTGTGAGTGAAAAGAGCATTTTCCCACCCGGCGTCTGGGGGGCTGTCTCCGCCCTGCACTCGCCTTCCCTGCAAGCTTCTCAAACCGGCCGTGGGGCTGGCCTTCGTCGCGATCTACTTCGCTGGGACGCGGCTAAGAGGCAAGACAAAATACATAAAAAAATACGTGGGCATCATATGTGCCTCAGGCCTCTGGAGAAATAGGAGCTTACAGACTGGATATATGCCAAATAACCCAATCCATCTGCCCCACAACCCAGCCCCCAGAAGACTCGGCAGCCACGGGGTGCCCCGCGGGGCCTCTGCAGGGACACCTCAGGCTGTTTGCGTGCAGACAGAATGGAGCAGGGAAAGCCGGACCTATGCTCCATGAAGGTCCTGCCCCCCCACTGACCAGTGCCCCATGTGGCCCCATACACGCCCCTTCATGGGGCAGCCACATGCTACCTCTCTGCACATAGTCTGAGGGCAAGGGCAGCAAACCGAGGGCCTGAGGGAGGAGTATAGGGAGTGAGGTGGGTGAACCTGCACTTCAGACCCTGCACAGTCTTCCCCCAAAGTCTGTTCTCAGACACCGCCTCCAGGAAGCCTTCCTGGACGAGGCTCTCACCCCAGCACCCCTAGACTGCACACACGAGGGTTCAGATCCACTTCTGCATGAGCGACCCGTCACATTTTTCATATGCTTCCATCATTTGTCCCCTGAAAGACTAGGAGCAGGGGACTGGAGCTCTTTCGGCCATTGCCTTCTCTGTCCTGCACGAACTACTCAAGCACCCTGGGGTGCTCTGGCGGAGGGTCCCGCTGACTGGATAGGGGGACGCTAAGATCTCCCCCTTCATGGGGTAGGAATGTATCCCAGCGTTGCTTCTATCTCATCTTTATCAAGACAAACCAGGGCCAAGAAACTGTGGTGGCCCTGATGAATAAAAAGTCCTTACTGTATAAACGACCATCCTTAACATATGAAGAGCTCTCGTGAATCAGTGGGTGCCCGAATGGCTGGGAGGTCACAGGGTCAGAGCACGGTGGGATACCTCGTGTGGGCTTCCAGCTGCCACGTCCCCAATCTCCCCGGAACATAAAGAGACAGAGCAAACATGAATGAGGAAAAAGATAGCACGTGGCAAGGTCCTTTCAGGAAGTCTTTCGCCCTTCTGAGGGATTGGCTTCCCACCCAAGACCTTCCTTGTGCACCAAACCGCATACACCAAGTATTTAACCCGGGTCCCTCCCCGCCCCGCCCTGACTTGTTGGGGTTTTGTTAGTTTGTTTTGACCAGAGAGAAGAAAGAGTGCTAAGCTCAGTTGGCCCTCGATGGCATCTAGAATGTTCCTCCCAGTGGACTACTCTTCTGGAGAATTCTCCCCCTCTTTGCCCCACTTACTACTCTTCTCTCGTAAGAACCCAGCTCTGTGACTCTGCAGAACGGCTTCCGGGGCATGAGCCGGCGAGCCCGCGGTGCTTGCGTCTGTGTACCTGGAGCATGGTGTGTTGTCTGTGTGTTTGTGATGTATGTGTGTGGTATGTGTGCAGTGTGCGTGGTGTGCATTTGTGTAAGGGGAGGAGGTGGCGCTCTCTAGTTCCTACTCCATTGGCCTCACACACCCACCTGCTTGGAGGGAAACCTCCAACCAGGCTGCTACTGGCATCTCTTCTCTCCAGCCTTGACTTTTTTTTTTTTTAAGAAAATTCCCCAGTATCCTAGAGACCAAAGAAGAGGGGTCAGGAGGGGGACACCCACTGAGGACCCTTGGGACCTATGGTCTTTACACGTCTCCTGGGGAGCTTCAGCTGGGAGCCAGCGGGGATGGGCCACACACAGCGACGGGGCCACGCCCCGTGTCGCCCCAGGCACCCAGACCAGTGCCCCCCCGCCGCCCCCCCGCGGAGGGCAAGGACACCCACAGGGCCCCCGCCTTCTTCTCCGAGAACACCCTTGGACAGAAGTCGCCATCCTGGGAGGGCTCGAAGGTGGACGGCCCCACCAGGTACTCCCCCAGGGGAAGCCGGGCCCGGGCGGGGACCTCCCGCCAGTTGATGTAGGCGCTGGAACAGGCCAAAGGCTGGTGGCCCAGGAAGAAGCCTGTGTGACTCTCCAGCTACAGAGAGAGCAACAGTCAACCATGCCACCAAAACCCTGCAAGACCAGGGCCAAAAAGCTCGGTTTTGTTTTTCTGACTTCGGGATAGGTGATTTGTAAGCCTGAGCCAAAGACCAGGAGGCCTTGGATTCCGTTGTGCGCTTACCGGGTGCTGCCCAAGTGTATTTAGAGCACCTCTGGGTGCCAGGCCCTGTTTCAGTCACTGGCCTTGACTATGTGACCTTGGCCAGACCCTCAGCCTCCTCCTGGTTAAACAAAGGGTCCAACAGCAGGGTCCCCAGGGTGCGCTCAGCTTCTCTCTAGGTGTTTGTCTTCACGAATCGCCCACTTACTGAATCCAACAAACACCCTTCCTCTGGGCCGTACCTGGGGCGTGGCATTGAGCGCCCCAGTACAGGCCTGTGGCTGGAGAAGTGAGTTTAAATCCTGCTCTTCCTGCAAAAGCAGCCAGAAGGGTTTGCCCGTGTGGGAAAAGGGCTCCGCACGGTGACCAGGCAGGCCGGCTGGGAGGGCAAGGGGGCAGCCAGGGCCCTCTCCTCGGGGAGGGGAGCGGCTCCCCGTGGCCTGTCTGTCTGCCGGAGGGAGAGGGAGGCTGCCGCTTGGGCTAATTAGTAGCTGCCGAGCGCTTCAGGCACAGGGGCGTCGGTGCTCCTGTGGCTGTCAGGAAGCCTCCCACGGCACTCTACGTTTATGGCCGATCGTCGTCAAGATGCCTGGGACAGAGGGCAGGTGCTGATAAGCTGCAAGCGCTGTACCATCTGTGTGACCCGGAGCCAGGATGTCCACCCCAGAGTGGGCGCTGCCCATTCATAATCACCAGACCCTCTTGGGGTCACTGGGCTGCTAAGCAGAGGAGAAGGCAGGGCCACCTGCCCCCTCTGCCGTGGTGGGGACTCCCCAGGGGTCCCCAGCCAGCCCCGGCTGACCTGGGTGCAAGGGTGGCCACAGCTCGGGAGACTCCCCTGCAATTGTTTACCCTTGGCAGGAGAATGCTGGGGGTGGCCAGTGAGGCCATGGCCAAGGTCCAAGTGTCACAGAGCTAAATGTCATTCTTGCCACCCCTGAGGACAGCAAGGGGGAAAAACAGGGGACTGGCAGGAGAAGTCCCAATGGAGCTGAAGCGAGGAAGCAAATGCTAAGTAGGGACGGGCTGGGAACGGGGCACACTGAACTCTGGCAAGAGCTCAGACCTAGGACAGACTAGAGAAGCTCTGTTCGGGGGCCCGAGCGGGAACTGGGGGACATGGAAGAGAGAGCTGGATCCCCCGTCCTACCAGGCATGTGCCACCAGGCCCCTGGCCCTTGCATCTTCCCTTAGCGTGGCTCCGCTCGGGGTGAGAGGATGGGGGTCAGGCAGGGTTAACTGAGGATGGTTCTCTAAATGTGGGTCCCGGGCCAGCATGAGCATCCCTGGGGGCTCGCTAGGAATGCAGATCCCCAGGCCCACTGCAGAGCTGCAGCATCAGGGACTCGGCGGCGGGGAGCAGCAAGCCCCCCAGAGGGGTCGGAGGCCGTGGTGGGAGACCTGTCAACCTAAGATCCCAGCCCTTGGCGAGCGCAGGTTCCACAGTGACACTCTGAGGGCACCAGGAGGCGCTGTTTGGGGAGGTTTTGCTGTGTGTGTATATGACGTCTGTCATAGGAACGGGGCACTTCTGATGGGGGCCCCCGTCATCCTGACCTAACTCAGGTTTGGACTCATTATGTTCTAGCGGAGAAGAGATATGTGCTCTCGGTCATCCACACACCTTTGCCCATTACGTCCATAATCAACAGCACGCATGCGTGAGCCAATGGGCAGGTAGACCAGTAGTCCGCGGCCTTGGCACAAGGCATGGGCTGGAGCACGGGAACTGGGACCTCATTGCCACATGCTCCATACCTGGCTGAGCGTGGGCACCCAAAAAAGCAGAGGTAAGACTGTAGCAGGGCAAGGACACCCCTACCTAATGACTGTACCTGTGCCCAGCTCGGGGCACCCCACCCCAGACAGAACAGTGGTTCTTAATCTCAGTGGCATGTTGGAATCACCCCAGAAATTCGAATATGCAGTAAGTCCTCACTTAATGTCATTGATAGGTTCTTAGAAACCGCGACTTGAAGCAAAATCATGTATAACAGAACCAATGTTACCATCAGCTCATTGCCAGAAACAAGAGTGAAGTTCCTATGGCATATTTCTGGCCACAAAAACATCGCCAAACTTCTAAATAAAGACCCAAATCCCTTCTAATATTAAACATCGAAATAAATGTGAGCTGTACACTTAGCAAAGAGGACTCGAGACAAGCAAGATTACTGTTTCCCACTCCATTTATACCAGTTCAGGGTCTCCGGCGGCTGGAGCCTCTCCAGGAAGCTACGGGTGCCAGGTGGGACCCCCTGCGTGGATTTATACCCACACCCACACTCGCTCAGCCTGGGACACCTGAGAAAGGGCCCAGGTGCCTCCAGCACGCAGCCCAGAGGCTTGCTGGGCCAGAACGACTTGGGGCTGACACATACTGCCTGCCACTGGGCCACGCCGGTCCCCTCCCCTGGAGTGCTGCCCGGGGCCCCTCCCTTCCTCTGGACACAGCAGGTCGGAGAGCTGGGTGATGCCTGGGAAGGTGGCAGGAAGCCCCAGGTGTGAGTATGATAATGATGATATGTCTCCCTAACCCGGTTATAAATCACTGAGGAGGCGCAGGAAAGCCAGGAGCCAAAAAGATAAAGTGGGAGTTTCTTTTCCTTATCAGAGATCAGGGCATTCATTCTGAAGGCTGGATAAAGAGAATCCTGAGCTGTGCTCTGAGCATCTTGTTCAGATCTGGCACACAGGGGGCAAAGGTCGCAACTGTCCCCTTCCACGGGGGCCTGGCAGGTGGGGTTCAGGACCGTCTTTACCTGCTCTCAGGGTGACCAGCGCCCCGGGGCGTGCAGGAGGCAGGCAGCATGTCTGTGGGAGAAGCGGCTGCCGTCAGCGGAAGTGCATGCTGTGCTTGCCCTTCATGCGGACAGGCACACTATGTCCCACCAAAGGAAGGGCACCTCTGTTGGCACTCACGCACCTCTTTGGGGACCTGCCGGGCAGAGGAAAACAGCATGTCACCTGAGGCCCTCCGTGCCTCGGCGCCCCTCCCCCACGTCTTGCAGACAGACTGTGTGACGCTGGCTCACAGGGGAGGAAGCTCGTGCTAAAGTGGGAGACGAGTCAGCATTTCTGAAACTGGAACGTCGCTGATGAAGGTCAAGGCCATCTGGAGGCGACTGAGCCCTAGAAATCTGAAAGAATGAAAAAGGTTCTACTTTTTTACTTTATTTTCCAGATGCGTGAATCATCAGGATCCCAAATTCTTCCAGAGTAATAACCGTGGGTTTAAAGGAGAATGTGCATCTTCTTACAGACCCAGGGGCCTGACCTCCTTCCTGATCAAGGGGGGCTCAGCCAACCTGAGCCGTAATTTCCCCAGACCTTGGCTCCAGGGCCTGCTTCACAAACAGGCGCGTGACTGGGGCGAGCCCATCAGAGACTTCCTTAGGGTGTTTGAATTGGAACTAAGGGGAAGGGGCCCTTCTTTTATGCTGTGATGTTAACAGGCAATGTAAAGAACGCTAGGCCAGGAAATGTCATCAATAGCAGAGATGTGCACAGAAGGTGTCCTGTGAGCATGCAAGCCCCTTGTCCTGAGCGTCCCTGCTCCGTGCCCCCCCGCCCCCCGCCCCCCCCCCACTTTGGTGTCATGAGCTGGTGAATTCCCTTTTCACAAGCCTAGGGCGAGTTGGGCTCTCTGACCTGCGACTAGAAATGCCGACAGGCATAGGAGACCAGCCCTCAGGCACAGAGTGGGCCCTCCGTGCCCAGGGTAGAGAAGAGGGCTCAAGCCCCCTCTGTCCCTCTCTCCCTTGGCCACTTCCTCACAGGCCCTTTTGACCAGAAAATCAGGAAAGGGATGGTTTGTGGCTTAGGTCTGTGGACAACTGCCTGGAACTCTGGGGGGGTGGGGGGGATTAGGATGAACTTGCATCCGATGGGCTTCTACGCTGACGCCTTCATTTGTAACCGTCAGCAGGGGCAGACCAGGATCTAGGGTCACCGCAGCTCCCCTACCTTTGCGATAAAACCACAGTCACCCACGCGGAGGTCCCGGTTGTCTGGAAGAACAGAGGTCCCCACAGTACCTGCCTCCCCCTCGCTGCCTATGAGCCGCCACCCCCCGGTAGCGCCTCCCCCAGCCACTGGGTGCCTTCCCTTCATCACGCCCGCTGCCGCCCGGAGGGACCGGGAACGGAGCCAGCTGGCCTTAGCCCTTGTCCACAGGATGATGGAAACAGACAGTCACCCATGAAATGCAGGATCCTGAACGCAAGTGACAGGCCTGCCTGGAATGGGCCTGCTGTGACAGCAGGACTGACGGCGGCAGGGGACAGGGAGACGGTCAGACAGACAGGGCTCTTTCTGGCTGCTTCTCACTTCGTGTCAAACCAGACTCCACTTTGCAGACAGTGAAAGCCAGAGGTGGCAGTTCCAGGAGTCAAAGGACAGTGTCCCCGACAATCCACGCACTCCTCGCCAAAACCCAGGCACCCCCACGACCCCGAGTATGCCCTACCGCCCGGGGCGTCCCGATGACCTTATACACACCCCCGACTGGGACCCTGCTCACGCAGGCTTCCCAGATGTCATGCTCTAAAGGTCCGTTTCCGGCCGCAAGAATAAGGTCCACAGATCACATTACATGGGGTCATTATAGAAGCAGCTATAATTTGATGTCTGAAAAATGGACAGGCTTCGTGTAGGTATTATTTATGAGAGCAAACTCCACGCCAACAAGCTACTCAGGGTGTTTGCCTGAGTCCCCGGGGAAGAAGGCTTTGCTTGGATTATATAAGGCAGGACCAGGGCAAGAAAAACTGGTGGCCGCCGTCCCTGGGGGAGCCTGCCTTTCAGCCAGGCCAGCCTACCACCTGCTCTCCCAAGCTATCCATCACTTTCCAGCTGTCAGGCAGCACACAGCGTCCCCTCTGGCTGGAATGTTCTCCCTTCTCCACCCCTAACACCCGGCTCATCTTTTCAAGCCCTGACCGAGTCTCCCTTCCGTGAAGCTGTCCCTCTCTGGGGACCGCTACCCGCCACGCTGTCCCCAGCATAGCAATCGGACCTGCCCTGTAGCAGTTAACCATGTGTCTAGATTGCGACCTCCTCAGCAGCAGCAACTGTGAGCTGTTCCCCCGCATCTCAGCTCCCTGCACAGCACCGGGCACATAGTAAATGCTCACTAAAGCACATTGATGTGCTAGGCACACAGCAAGTGCCTTTCCCAGGTTTCCATCCCGAGAAGCAAAGACTCTGATTTGGTGTTATTTACATTCTAGGTGGGGATGGAAGGGCTAAGCCTGGGCATAGGATTGAGGTTATCTATTTGAAAGTCTTTTCCCCCTGACATCAGTATTTTCCAAGTATTTTCCAAGGTGAAATGCATACACAGACACACCCAACACTCTGAAGCCCTAAGTTCTGAAGTAAGAGGAACAAGGGGCCAGAGGAGATATGAGCGCGACAACTACCCTTTCCCTTACTTGTATCTTGTTGCGACACTTCTTTTTCTATAATTTATTGCACTAATTTATACTGAGAAGTCAGGCCTGCAGCCAGCTCTGGGTCTTCCTGATTAGAATTGAATTTTTCCCAAGAGATTCGTTTTTACCAAAATTGTATTAAAAGCACCACCGTGAGACCCTCCAGAATGTGTTATAAGGAGTCTCTGCCTGTGTGAAAAACTGGATTCCAACCTGTTCCCTACAAGGCTTGTCAAGAGCCAGAGCTCTTGCTGTGACGCATCTGTGAGGCTGTGACCTCCACAGACGTGGGTTACTGCAGCCAGAGACCGGAGTCAGCTGTCGTCCCCAGTCCAGGGACGCTGGAGCCAAAGATGGCCAAGTAAGGGCTTCCCTCCCTTCAGCCTATATGCCCTGTGTGTTCCAACAAGTACCTTAATGTTGTCCAGGGAGGAAGGGGTGTCTGTCCTTGGCTCCTCTGCCCAGGCTCCCTTCCCTCGCTCTGTGATGTCCCTCATATTCTTTGTGAATCTCAAATGTCTTGTGCCCCATGTTCTTGGCTCTTGTCCCCTGAGAAACCTACACTTGGAAAGAATCTAATAAGCACGTTGCCATTGAGTCCCCAGGGACAGGTGAAGTTTAATGAATGACATGTCTCCATGTTAACAGCAGAGATTAAGCGATAGGAATGAATCTCTAACTGTGGAATTCAGGCCTCAGTAAGGCCACCGGAAGAGGCAAGCAAGGTAAGCAAGGAGAATGCTGGATTAGAAATATTTGCGCAATAGGAAAGATGTGCTCCAATTCCTGGGCAAATACTCGCACCCGAGACATCAAGCGCGGGAAAGGCTGGCTCCGCCTCGGGAGTACCTTGTAGACAGCGTAGCCGATGCTCAGCAGGCCCCGTCCCATCCTCTTCTGTCGCCTGCGATTCTTCTGCATCAGGCCCAGCAGCACCGTGCAGCAGGGTTCACCCGAGCCTTCCTGCGGGTGCTCACCCACCTCGTCCAAACGGATTTTGAACTGGGGGTTCGTCCAGTAAGTGGCTGGAAGTCACCAGGAGGTGGCGGTTCCCGCCACGGGGAGTGAGGGGACAAGAAGAACAAAAGGAAAGGGGAGAACCTTGATCATCCCAAAGAAAGCGTAATTCCTGCCCAGCTCCCCCTGGTAGCAGCCTCCGCAAGCGTCCTTGACAAGGCGGTGAGGCATCTTCTCCCATCTCCCTGCCCCACCCAAGTACCCACCCCGACACGCCCCGCAGGCTTCTGAAGCTCAGCACGCGTCCGTTTGACCACCTAGGAGCCCACCCGCACTTGACTGGTGGTATTCCAGGTCTCCCACGGTCCCAGGCTATATAGGACACCCCCACCCTCGCAAGATGTCACTTCCAGGTCTTTCTGGAGAAACGATGCACATCGCCTTGGTCTCATCTCTTGGTCTGTGAAGACAGACCCACCTTCTAGAGGAAGAGAGATCTTTAGGCCAAACGGCATGTCCAGGGAACAGGAGGCTCCTGCGGGCTAGAAAGACAGCCACTCTTGTCCCCCGGCCCCTGCCCTCCCACGGCCACGTGCTCTCTCTCAGACAGGCCCCAGCCTCACATCACAGCCCAGAGCTGCACTAATTGCTGGCCCTCTGTCCGCTGGCCCAGAGACCTGCCTCGATTGCTTCAGTGTGGCAGCCAAGTGATGACACACGCTCCCCTCCAGAGGAAGTCACTTAATAATGCATGAGAAGCAGTAATTGGCAATTAAGAAGTATGCCTGTCACACTACCTATGGATATGTAAAAACACTGCTTCATTTCCAATAGGAGTTTTAAAAATAATCTCCCAACACAGCGACTACACTCGCCAAGGCACAGCGCAGCCAAATGGGGCGTCCGAAGGCACACGGCCCTCCTGTGACAGTCGAGTATAGCAGAGCGTAATCGAAGAAGACAGCCTGATGGGCACCTCCCTGCGAGGGCCTCGCCAATGTCAGTAACGAAGCCTCGGGGGGAAGGAGAGGGCGTGGGCGGAGCGGGCGGAGGGGGAGTTCTCGCCGCCCCTACAGAAGGGCCCCACTGGATGAAACAGCAAGGCCTTCCCAGGTGACCACACGCCTCAGATTATTATTTTTTTCCTTAACCATCAGATTACTTATTCCATTCCACCTTCCCAGAGTCTTCCCGATGCTTTTATTTCAGGTACAGGGGTGCAGATTTCATAGCCAAATACAGTCCAATCCCAGAGCAGATGGAGGCCACCCTGTAACCCTCCAGGCCACGGCGCTGCCGCAAGGCAGCCACCCCATCCCTTCCTGACAGCTAGCTGGCGGTACAGATGGGGTAGTGATTCTGCGCAGGCAGACGCCCTCGGCACCCCCTGCCATTCGGAGCTCCCCAAATGATCCATGCAAATTTCCCACGCATTTTCTAAGAGCTTGCTAATGGCGAGCATATTTTAATTTCTCCCACATGCCACATGAGTGCAATCTCTAATGTTTTCTGTTCGCTCCCCAACAGAACTGGAAGATGAGAAGGGGCCATAAAAATAATACCTGCCATTGGTATCACACTCGCTGTTTACAGAGCGTTTCTGAAGATGGGTATTATCGCCCATTCTGAGGATTAGGGAAACCGAAGCTCGGGAAAGGGGCCTACCCCGGGGTCCCACGGCTGGTAAGCTGAGTGACGGTGGCAGAAAGGGACCTGGCCTCCTTCCTCCCCGCTCAGCAGCATCTCTGCCCCCAGAAGGAGGAGCCCAGGGTTGGACTGGGAAGGAAGGGGAGAGCTGGCCAAGCCCAGGCCTGCCGCCCGTGGGATTTTATGAGGATGTCGTTTCCACGGCACCGCGCACGGGCCGGCAGTGAGCGCTGTGTGAGCAGAAGGCAGCTGGCCCGGGTCCGTGAACACAGTCTACGTCAACCACTGTGTCACCACAGACCGGGAAGGAGCACGGGCGGGAGGATGGGGGGGAGGCAGACAGTGGAGGAAGCGGGTTTTGCCTTCCTTCATTCTCCTTAGAGATGCGGGGTCGATTTTTTCGGATTTCCTCCTCAGGTGCTGCTCAGCTGATCCGACCTAGGAGGAGCCTACACAGGTGTGCATTAGAGATCTCCTGCCCACGGGGAGCTTCCCACCGTTTTAATGAGATGACGGTTAGTGCAGAAGCAGGGACTTTGCACCAGGCCATCGCGGCCAGGGACAGAGCTCCAGCGGCTCCCATGGAAGCTGCGAGGGCCACTCGTAGGCCCTGGGTGTGGCCAGCCGGCACTGGCAAGATCAGGCCCCGCCCCTCGGGCTCAAAGAAAGGGCTGCTGTGATGGGTGTGGTCACTTGAGACAGCAGATGAGGCCCAGTGTTCCTCTAGCAGGCCACTAGCCACTCTGTCCCAGAGCTCGCTGGGATGGGTACCCGCCTCCCAGGTCAGGTGGGAATGAACAGAGAGGCCTTAGCGCAAGGTGTCAAGACATGGTTAGTATGAAGAAGCGCATTCTTGAGGGACAGGGGCGGGTGGGTGAAGCAGGGACAGTTGGAACACACAGAAGTTGGAGAAGGGTGTCACCGGAGATGGGGCCTCCGTGAAAGCTGCAGAGGCAGCACCCACCCTCGCGGTCCTGGCCTCTAAGCCCCGGGGCGAGCGGGGCCACCTAGCGATCGGCGCCCAGAAGCCAGAGGACGCGTGCAAAGGTGTTGCCCGAAGACGAACGTGTAAAGACACCCCGCTCGGGAGCACAAGCCACAGGAGGCGGGCCCAGGCAGCTGGTCGCCTCACCTGGGTAGTTCTGGCAGCCGCCAGCGGTGGAGCCCCGTGTCCAGCGGCCGTTGAACAGGACCAGGTTCCACTTGTGAACCTCCTCGCTGCTCAGGGAGTCCGGGGACAGGTTGCAGATCTCCAGGCGAGAGAATTGCCTCAGAAAATCCGAAAAAGACATCCTGGGGACAGAGGGAGCAGACGGCTGTCTGTCAGGAGAGCTGGGCTGGGAGGGCGCGGGCAGGCAGGCCCGCTGGGCGCGGGGAGCAGGCCACTGGCCAGCACTCGGCCCTTCTGCAGCCCTCGGGCACAGACCCTCAGGGGCTGCTGTGCGGTGTCACACCTACGCAGCCAAGTGAGGAGAATGAGCCGGAAACGGGAAGAAACCCCAGGAGGGGATCCGAACAAAGCCCCTGCCTGCAGGGGGCCGGGCGGTGCCACCTAAGCCTGCGAGGTTTCCTCCTATTTCATTCTGACTGACGTCCAGCAGAGAGAGGCCTCTAAGCCATGTCCCAGGCAAAGGGTCCTCATTGCCCCCCTTAGCCCACCCACAAAGGGAGTCACCCTGTTTCGATGGTGAGCTAAGTCTCAGATTAAAGAGGTGGATGGATTGCTCTTATTTCACGGGAACGATACGGAGGGTGAGGGAGACAGGTGCGCGCTAACCCATGGCGGGGACCCAGGTCTTGTGCTGCCGATGCTGTGGGCATCCTGGCACAGGGCACGGGGGCAGGACCGCAGCGGGACAGAGGGGAGGAGGACGAGAGCGCCCTGGCCGGGCACCGTGCCGGATTTCCGGAACACGCAGGGCGTCACTGCCCCACATCTGCACGGGAGGGAGCCACGGCCGCGGGCCAGCTCTCCCGCAGACAACCCGCTCACCAGAATTCGCCGTCCTCCACCTGTCTGTCCAGCTCTTCTTTCTGCCTGGGGTCTATGTGATTCCACTCTGGGGCGCTGGGGGAGACAAAGAAATGAAATTTTTAAATGTTTAAGCGACGCAGAGGTCGCTGCAGAAGGGTTTGTTGCGATGCAAACTGTTCGCTTCAGCTCCATGTTCCCCAAAAGACTGGAAATGAAGTTTTAAAAAAACAAATAAATAAGCAAGCCTGGGGAAAGGGCAGGACAGTGTGGGGAGGGGACACACACCAGGGACAGGGACTCCGTGGTCACCGGCAGGGTGACCCCAGGCCTGTGGCAGGAACATGATGCCGTGGTCTTGCCCGAATTCCACTCTCCAGACAAGCTTCACATTTCTAATTAGGAATCCCAGGCCCCTGGGGCAGACGTGGGGAAGCCAGAGAGGAGAGCCGAGGGCCCAGTCCCGGAAAGGCGTGCCCACCCGCTCCGATGAGTAAGCTGTCACTCTGGCTGATCTGCCGGCCTGGGGGAAGGTATCGTGAGAGGGTTTGACCACTCTAGGCACGCGGCCACGGTCCACTCCCTGAGCCTGCAAGGATGACGACCAGGCCAGGTTTTCTGGCAATTTCCCTAAAGTAATGTCACCCTGCGAGGCCGCCTGCTGGTGGCCTTTCTGTGGCAATCCCCACAAACTTCGTTCAAATGCCATCTCCAGCCACCTGACCTTTACCTGAAACATGCATGCGATGTCTAAATAACAGAGCACTATCAAGATCCACCTTTTAAAAGAAAAAAATCGCTTTTCTGAATGCCTTTGTTTGGCAGAATTGAGGACTGGGGTTTTGCTCAGTCTCAGGAAGTCAAATGAAAAACCTTAGGTACAGGAGGCTGGGTCCTACAGACTCACGTCTCCTCATGGAAGTATTCCCGTTTTGAGCATGGATGATGTGTGATTAAATGTAACAAAGTTCTTCAAAAGCCCTACCAGCCTCCTGGTTTTAAGGACAGCAGGTGGGATGCATGCAAGGTTTAAGGACACATTGGAAGGGACTATTATTATGACCATTCCCATTTCTGATGGCTCTTTGTCAATGACACTGGTGAATTCGATTTCCTTTCCCAGTGACAACCTGCCGCTCCCATGCCAGCAGTGGTACTACGAGGAAACCCTCCCGTGCATCCAACTCCCTCAGCGACGTTGATTCTGGGACACAGCAGTCCTGGGGCACCATGGGGGGCCCCGGTGTCCTGCCACCATCTCCCACTGACTTCCCCCCCACAGCGGAGAGGCCTGCCCAGGAAGAGCCTCTTTGGCCATTAATGACTTTGCTGGGAAAGATCAATAACAGCCCGTCAGGCACACGCACGCCACTCCATTCATCACTGCCTGCCGCGGCCAGTTGGCTCCCAGGACAGAGTTCCACTTTCTAAGTGGTCATTTCCTGTCGGCGCTGAGGGGTTTGGCCTTTGTCAGAGGGACCAGGGTTTGTGGAGTGGAAAGAATCCAATTGTGACGGATCGATCTCACCTCTGGTCACCGCACTGTGGCGGGGAGAGAGCAGATGGACCCTGCCTCACAGCACCCTGTTCGACGGAGCTGCCAAACTTGCAAATGCCAAGCTGACACCCAGAGTCAAAGACTCCAGCCAAGTGGGCTTTGTTCTGCTTTTCCCAGCCTGGAGGCACGGACTACCCTCTTCTGAGCAGGCCGTGCGACGTGAGGACAGGAAGTACTGCCGAGCTCACGATACCACCTGTGTCGTCGCGATTGCATGTTTGCATGATGCCCTCCCACCCAGGGAGGCCTGCGCTGGGGGACAGAGGACAGCACCTACTTGTCGCTCCAGGCTCCTGTCCACTCCACCGCGCCCCACGGATTCCTGAGTCTGATCAGCTTCTCTGGACGCCCACAGAAGTCCACCTGCAAGGTCCGCACACAGGTTCAAGTCTGCACCTCAGATTCACGTTCCGCTTGTCAAACGCCCCCAAATGGCCATGCTTCTATTTGCTTTTCACGTGTGTTGTCAGGCCTTGGCCCACGGCTCTATTTTCCACAATTTGGTTGAGTAAATAGTGAATTCCGCACAAAAACAAGTTTATGTCTGCTTTGACTTGGGTTTACATTGTATAACTGACTCCGTTGTTAATATATGAGACCTATGATAATGATAATAAATGCCTTCCCCCAAAATACTCATGGCACGGCTGTTAGCATACTCTGGGCTGCACATGGTGCTAATATTTGAAGTGTGTTATTCCCAGGGTCCTGGTCAGGTAGCTCAGGTGGTTAGAACGTTGTCCCAATACACTAAGGATGTGGGTTTGATCCCCAGTCCGCTCACAGACAAGAATCAACCAATATGCACATATATGAGTGAAACAACAAATCTGTGGTTCTTCTCTCTTTCTCTCCCTTCCTCTCTCTCTAAAACCAATAAATTAAAAAATGCATTCTTTTTCTCATTAAACCTCCTGACAATCCTGTGAGCTGGGTCTGTTATTATCTTTATTTCACAGCTCAAAAACCCAAGACTCAGAGAAGTTAAGTTATCCATGGTTACTTAGCTATGAGAGGTAAATAGAGGGCGGGCACCCAGGCAGCCTACGCCCAAAGCCCACACTCATAAATCCACACATCCCGCCTTCCCCTGCCGTTCACTGAGCAGTCACTAGGGCCCCACTCGAATGCCGTGAGCCGTGGGGTCTTCTATGTCTGACATCCCTTCATTAGCTTCTGTCCTAGCCTGATGTTTACACATCCTCCTATGGGGGAACTGACTTGATTAAAGAACACATTCACGAAACACAAACACGTAGAATGGATAGCTGTACCATTTTAATAAATAACAAGAGCCAAGACACCCACCCATTTCGCTTTTTGCCTTGGCCACTGAGAAACCCAAAGCAAAAATAATTTCTCAGTTGTTGCATAGAGTACTGTATTTTGCTGTGTCTAATGTACACTTTTTTGCCCAAATTTTTGAGGAAAAAATAAGGATGCACATTATGCAAATACTAACTTGTTACTGGTACATAAAAATTCTTGTGCCTTGTATTTGTTCTTATGTTTTGTAAGTATTTGTTACATCAAATTTCTTGTACCATAATACGTTCAAAAATAAATGTCAAAATTCCTTTATAATACAAAAAAAAACCAAGTGTCTACATATAATAAATAAATAATTGAATTAAAAAATTAAAACAAAAGTTTGGTTTTTTTTTCCTGGAAGTTTGGGCCAAAAATATGGCTGTGCATTATACACAGCAAAATATGGTAAATAGAAATCGTGGAAATTATTTAGTAAATGAAAATAATGGCAATCACAGCCCACGCCCTCCCCTTGGGCTGGAGCATGATGAATACCTGCACTCCTTCCTGTCTGTCTTCCCACCCTGACAATCAGGGCAGGCTCCTTTTCTCTTTAGGGACCCTGCGGGTTTCCACCGCGCATGAGAATCTAACTGACAATTCCTGCAACTTTTCTCCAGCACCTTCTTCCCGGAGGAGAACCTGCATTTGAAGTTACATTCCCATCTCTGCGGGGCAAGAGCCGGAAGGGCCCTCGAGCCAAGCGACAGCGAACCACACATGCGTTGTGTCAGGGGCTCTGTGCTGCCAGAGAAAGACCTCAGCCAGGCAGGGGGACTCCAGGGGGTGATGCCCCCCCCACCCCAGGGCGACTCTGGGCCTGTGCTCCTATCGTGACTTATTGCCCTTGCGCTCCACCTGCCCGCGTTTACCTCCTCGACTCCCGTGACAGAGTACGCGTGACTCTTGACCAGCTTCTGGCTGGTGATGACTTCTGTTTCAGCTGCGCTGGAGACCTGGGTTGAGAGTACAGTTCACTCCGGGTGGTCGCCTCCGACCTTGTTGGGGCTGGTCCTCACATGCCTTCCCAGGACACACCACACGCCACAGGGGCCTCTCCGTGCGGGCCTGGCGTTGCAGGTGCGACCACGAGCCGCAGGTAAATAAATGGAGCCTCTCCAGCCGGACCCTCTTTAATCAGGCCGGCAGTTCCAGGCAGGGAGCTGCCTGGCTGCCAAGCCCAGAATATGATTACCAGGCTTTCAAATGTCACGGGAAACTGGGAAGTCATTTATCCTCCAAGAGTGACCTCATGCTGCCTGAAGAAGACTAATTATCCGTGACAACTGCCCGGGACAAGTTCTGGTTCTCCACTGTGTTCGGGGACCGAGCGTCCCCACCGCCCTTCCTGTCTCACGGCCCGCCCCTCCCCCACACCGCATGGCGCCCCTCCACCAAAACACACATCCTGCTAGGATCTTCATAGAGTCATGGCATTCACATGCCTGAGATCACCAGGGAAGGGCAGGACAAAGAGAAAGAGCTGGTGACAACAGACCACAGGCCGGGTAGTGGCCCAGCTCTGGCATCCACGCCACGTTGGCACTCCCCACAGCCGACCCCACAGACAGGGTGTGACCCCTGAACCTCTTGCTTTTGCAGAATCCGTCCAGTATTGTCAGGCATCGTATTTGTTTTCCAAAACCGCTTTGTAAAAAGGCACAGCAAAGGTAGGGCTAGGATCCAGGGGCCAAGGCTTTGTTCTTAGGGCAACTTCCGCAGCACCAAATGGGCCCTGTCAGCTAGAACTTGGGGCTCCTACAGTGAGACCAACCTCCTTTCCTACCCACTAATGAGACATCAACTGGCTCCCACGTGCTAGGAGCCAATATGTCACCGGACTTGCCCACTAAGTCCCAGGCTGCGCCCTGGCCCAGCGCCGCCCTGGGCCCCTGGGCCCCGTCTGGTCCCTCCCCTACCACACGCGGGGAGGGGAGCAAAGAGAAGCCGTCAGCTCACGTCGATGGAGCAGGCCAGCAGCGACCCCATGCGGAGCGCCTTCCGGATGGTCGGATACAGGCTGGCTGGCGGCGTCTTCAGGTCAAAGAACTCAGAGATGCCCCCCGTGAAATCTTCAAACCCCTCCACTGTGGAGCCCCCGGCGAGAGCCTCGTAAGAACCGTTGAGCCTGTTGAAAAAGAGAAAAAAGCACCACAGCCATTAGCTACCCCAGGCGGGGGGCCTCGTGGGTCGGGGCAGGGACGATGCTAGGACGTGGCCCCGTCTAAAAGGTGAAAGAGGAGCCTTTGCCGATTGCGCCGTGGCCCGGGAAGGTGCTTAGGCCACAGTTTCACGTGCCCTACCCAGCACTTTACCAAGAACGAAGCTCAGGCCACCTCTCACCAGGCCACCCCAGCCTCGGGAAGGCAAAGGGCGACCATTCCAGAGCTTACCCTAGCCTCCCGGGCCTCTGAGGGTCGGGGTAAATGGAATGGATGCGAGGGACCGTCCCTCGGGGCTGAGAGGCGCCCCATGGGACCCACTGTAGGGATGGGGCTGGAAAGGAGCTGGGGTGCCAGGAATGCAGGCCCGCAAATGAAAGTGATCGAAAGAACCCAAAAGCAGGCTCTGGCCACTGAACACCAGTGAGAAGCACAGTGACTCGTGAACAAAGGGTCAGCTGGCTCGGTGGCTTGCCGCCCCTCACTGACTCACGTGGGACAGAGCTGAGCTTTTAAACTCCCAGCCCAATTTTCTGTTTCTCTTAGTTACTGAGGGGCACAGGGCATGGGGTCCAGGTGCTGGCAAAGACTCGGGTGTGACACCCTGAGTTTGGGGAGAGGGGGCAGGTGAGCTCCTCTGAGTTTGGGGAGAGGGGGCAGGTGAGCTCCTCTGAGAAGGCGACGGGTCTCCCCGCCCCTAGCCGCGCCCACCCGCTTACTTGGCGTAGGCCTTCTCCAGCAGCGCGCTCCAGAACTCGCTGCCTTCTTCCGAGTGCAGGAAGAGCAGCCTCCCATCCTTGGTGGGCAGCCTGTCGTCCACCACCACGTCCACCCACTCGCCGTACTGCCAGAACTGCGGAGCGCAAACACAGCGGCCGCGCGCGGGACTAAGCCGGGGCGACGTCGGTCTCTCCAGGGGACCCCAGGAAGCCCTGGGGGGGGGGGGCCAGTGTGTGAGTCTTGGACCATTAGTGAATTCAAGCTCCTGAAGAGCAGGATTTGTGTCTTACTTATCTGTGCACATAGGAGACACCAAAGAAGTTGGGAAACATGGCGTCCAGTGTCTGCGTTTGTGGATGACAAAACCGGCCTGGCATCACGCAGTGGTGACAGTGTGTGACTCAGGCCCCCATCTCTGACAGCCACTCCCAAGCACTTCCCTCAAGGCCAGGAGGCCTGGGGTTGACGGCAGGGTGTGGACGTGTGGGTGATCGGATGAACGCGTCCAAGCAGTGGCTCTCAAACGCCCATCTGCTCCAGAACTCCCGGGGGAACTGTTAAACATAGGCCACCGGGCCCCACCCCCAGAGCTCCTGATTCAGCGGGTGGGGGGTACCCGACGCACCTGGAAATGAAAGATCCCCGCGTAGTCCCTCTGGAAGCTCTGGTCCCTGGGCACCACCCGGTAAAGCAGCTCTTCCTTCAAGGTCAAGGAGGCGATGGCCGCCAGAAGCCAGCAGTCCCCTGCCCCAGGTCATAGGGTCACACCCAGGTCAGGCCAGGCCTGCAGGGTCTCTGCTTTCTATGACCCTGACACCACTCCCTCCTAAGTCAGAGAGTGGGGCTCTCTCTCCCTTCCCGAGGGTCACAGGCAGCCGGCAGCTGTGCTGCCTCATTGGAAGTCGTTCCCTCGGATCAAAATTTCTCGGGTCCTCCCTATCGCCCCCTGAACGCTGACCGCATCCCATCTCCAAGGCACTCAACCAGTGGGGAGAAGTGGAAAGGAAAAAAAGCCAACATCAGTCTCTTTGGTTCCTCATTAGCAACGCTGATAAAGCATTTGGTTGGGAGAAACACAGAAGTTTCTCCCAGGGTGTGTGGGTGTAAGCGGGCATGCGTGTGTGCATGTATGTGTGTGTGTGTGTGTGTGTGTGTGTGCGTGTGTGTGTGTGTTCCTGGCTCCCTGTGATGTTAGGTGACAGAAAGCTGGCTCTCTCTGTCTGTTTACAAGATTGCCCTTTTGTGTCTCAGAGTGCACCCTGACAGCAGCACTGCTTTGAACAATCTGGGATATTGATTAGCATGACGTCAGCATAATGTGAGGCAGGAGGAATAAAAGTCAAGAGGTTAAAAACGCTAAGATTTGCCCCGGCCGGTGTGTCTCGGTTGGTTGGAGTGTCATTCTGTAAGCCAAAAGGTCACCGGGTCAATTCCTGGTCAGGATACATGCCCAGGTTGAGGGTTCAATTCCTGGTCAGAGTGCGTACGGGAGGCAACCGATCGATATTTCTCTCTCATCGACGCTTCCCCTCTCTGTCTCCCTCCCTTCAACCTCTCTCTAAAGTCAATTAAGCATGTCCTTGGACGAGGATAAAAAAAATTCTACGGTTAAAAAAATGGTCACTTCAGAGATCCAAATAAACGCAGAAGAAAACAGAACCCCCTTTCTGTGCAATGTGAGACCACCCAGACATACGCAACCACATGAGGCTTCCTTGGAAGGCGTCATCACCCCTCCTGGTGTTGACATCAAAAGATTAAGCACAAGCCCTGGATGCCCCTTTCTTACCTTCACACCCTATGATGGACCTATCACCCTGGAATTGATGTCATCGTTTCTCATACCCATTTACATGCTGATTCTACACCAACTCTGAGGCCTCCGCGTCCTTACGTGCAGGCTCACTGCACGAACAGGTTATTTCCTCTTACTGGCCTGATAGCTGCCTCCTTCCGGTTTCCCTGCAGAGCCCTCCCTCTGGGAGTCACGGGTTTGGTGAGCAAGCTCCTCCCACTCATTCTGTCCAAATGGCTCCAATATCCTACCTGTGTGTCTCACCTTTCACCTTTCCCATATAAATCAATGTGAATCTTCCTACAGATCTTCAGATGGGAGCCCCTTCCACCTTTCAGAGACCCGCCACGGACTCGTCTAGCTCCCTGCTTTTCTTGAACACTGTGGCCAACAAGTTGCATACAGAGTCCGGGCTGTGAACATGCAGGCTGTGAGCAGGGTCCCAGGTGGGCCAGGGGACCCACCTGGCAGGATCTGTCATCTGCTCGGAATGGGTCCATCACCAGGTCGTCTTGGAGAGCGCTTTGCTCTCTCTGCCCTTCTCCTAACAAAGTGGTTCACAATTTGGTCACAAATTAATTCCTTTCCCCAACTAAACTCATATTCATTCATTCATTCATTCATTCATTCATTCATTTTCTCTCTCACACTCACACACGATCCAGAAGGTGATCCTCCCCACCTCCTCTCTCCCAGGCCCCGCCTCACTGACAAGAGCCCCTTTCCCCCATAGCAGCAGGTCCCAGGTGAGACCAGGCAGTCACGGGTGTTGCTGCTTCTCACTAAAGACTCAACAGAGGGCAGGGTGTCATTAAAAGGCAACTTCCAAAGGGGAAATGAAATAACAGGCTGTCCTCTTCTCCTCCAGTCTTCTTCCCGCCCACACCTGTGATCACGGCCTGACTTGGCCGGACACCTTCCGCCTCCTCCACTGCCTAAGAATGACAGCAGAACTGACCCTCCCTGAAGCCCCTCCGCAACGTGCCTCCGCCCCACTCCTCCAGCCTTTCCCCAACGATGACCCTTCCATACACTGATCCCAGCCAAACTGGGGTGCTCGCACGAAACACGCCCTGGTCTCTTCCTCTCGCTCACTTGTTCCCTCTGCTGGCAGAGTCCTCCCTGCGATGCCGCCGGCTGAGTCTCCCCCTCCTCCACGAAGCCTTCCCTCATGCCTCTCACTCTCCAGCTACAAGGTGTCTCTTTTTCATTGTGTTTCCTAAAGACCTTAGCTATTCTTCTCTGTGCACTGATCACAAGCTGCCTGCGTTCACGGTCGTCTACCAGACTGGACTCCAAGTTCTCTTTATGCATCGCATGCTTGGCGGAGCTTCACCGACCCCGTCCCTGACCCACCAGGACGCTTCCTTCTCCGAGCCCCCAGGTCCTTCCTGAGCCACTTGAGCACGACCTCCTCTCTCCCCTGCTCCGCCCTGGTCTCTTCCTGCACGCAAGGATGTGGATCCTTTCATCTTGGCATCCTCAGCAGCTGGCTGACCCATCAGAGAGGATCCATGAATGTTTGATGAATGAAAATAAACAACTGATCCGATGAGCCAGTGGACCCTGTTTTGTTCCTGTGCAAAACCCCAATACCACCTGCCATATGTTTGCATCTGAATCTCGCTGCTGGGCGGGGAAGTGGAGGCCAGCCAGGATGTGTGTGAGCCTGACAGGTTCCCCCCACCTCCACCCGGGGCCTTTGCCTCCAAGGCTCTGGGCAGAGGGAGATGACAAGGGAAGAAAATCAGAGGCACAGGGCTCTGGGGAGGGGACAGGGCCACTGCTCTGCAACCCCCTCTAAGCAGGTGGCCTACCACAGAGACCAGAGCAGCCACAGGGCCCTCCTCACTGGGCACAGCCTGCCTCTCTCCTGATATGGACGTTCTTGCTCTCAGCCTGGGCTGCTTCCAACAGCCCACCTAGAACTCTCCTTACACATTGCAATTCAAGGCACGCACACAAAATGTCCCTCCGCTGCTGATATCAAATAGAGCTGCCCAGCTGGAAGAGAGTTTAATTTTCTCTTCATCTGCCTCAGTCCTGACATGTCACAGGGCCCACCTGGCTCTCACGGCAAGCACAGAGCTCCAAGGAGATGCGGTGGTACGCGGGCTCTTGGATTCCTGCCCGTGGCTGTATGAGGCGCAAATGGATTGTCATGACAAATATGCTTTTTCTAAGGAACGTGTCCAAATGAGCATGTTCCCCTTCAAAGAGTCCTCTTGGGAGAATAAACATTTATTCTGTTGCTTAAAATATTTCAGGAGCTTGTTTGGAGGGCCTGCCTTCAGGCCGGTGACATATTCCTTGGGTTCCTCTCAAGGGGGACAGAGCTTTGTTCTGGGAGCCGAGTTTTAATTTTCAAAAGCAAACAAGAGCGCCCTGGCCGGTGTGGCTCCATTGGTTGGAGCATCATCCCATGTTCCAGAAGGCTGGAGGTTCAATTTCCAACCAAGGCACATGCCTGGGTTGCAGGTTCAATCCCCAGTCAGGACACACATGGGAGGCAACCGAACACTGTTTCTCTCTCACATCCATGTTTCTTTCTCCTTCTTTCTAAATCAATAAAAATATTTTTAAAAAAAGAAAAGAAGAAGCCAAGAGTCTTTGGATCCAAGTTGAGTGGTAATTAAAGTGGACGAAAAAGCTGGGAAATAGTTTTGAAGGACAGTCCCTCCTCCACAGTCTGGATTCCAATGCAGGCTGGTCATTGGTTAGAGGTGTGGCCAATCCGAGGCCTAAGGCGGGGTCTCCTGGGTCACTGACCTCATGGGAAGTTGGGAAACCCCCCGAGCTTTGTCCTTCCTACTCTTCATTTAGGTCCTATATGCAATGGGTTTAATATTCATTAAAACAATAAACAGATATATTTTTTTAGTCCACTCAAACAGTGATCTCCTAGAACCCCATCCACTGCATAAGGAGGCTCAAGGGTCCCAGAAAACAGAGACACACTCCAACCATTTCTGTGAAGTCAAAGCTCTGTTCTGTCAGGGGAAGTTTTAACCAAGAAATAACAATCCTGAGTCAGGCTCTGCTAAAAAAAAGTAATCTCTAAATTCAAAAATTCCCTCTCTATAGTACAATCAAAGCTTGGAGGTCTGAACACAAAGTGTTCCTGCAGGACAAGGGTGAACGTGGAGATGCTTCCGGGCTGCAGAGAGAAGGGGAGAGGCAGGAAGGAAGGAGAATTCGCCAACGTCTGGCAGGGTTGGCACTTCCAAAGGCAACGGTTTGAGCATCAAAGGATGGAAAGAGGACCTTGGGGAAAGGAATGAAGTCTTTGAATATTCTTGTGATTCTGCTTCGAACATCAAGCAAGACTTGGAAGGTGTCACATGGTCCTGTCTTGTGACTTTTTCAGGAAAAGCACACCCCTTAAGAAGGCAACCAGCAATTCCCTGCTTCTTCTATGATTTAGAACAAAGCTGCAATTATTACGTAAGTAGAATGACTTCTAAGGAAAAAAATTTTTCATACTTTTTTGTATCATTTTTCAACATGTACTAACCAAATAATTTTTTTTAAGATTTTATTTATTTATCTTTAGACTGGTGGGCCAAAAAAAAGGGGGAATTTATTTATTCCCCTTTAGAAGGGAGAGGAGGGAGAAAGAAAGGGAGAGAAACATCAATGCGTGGTTGCCTCTCACAGTCCCTCTACTGGAGACCTGGCCCACAACCCAGGCACGTGCCCTGACTGGGGGTCAACTCTGGTTCGCAGGCTGGTGCTCAGTCCACGGAGCCACACCAGCCAGGGTTAACCAAACAATATTAGAAACTGCTGCCCTGACTGGTGTGGCTCCGTGGATTGAGTGCCATCTTGTGAGCCCAAAAGTTGCACGTTCGATTCCCAGTCAGGACACATGCCTGGGCTGTGGGGTCAGTTCCCCATCTGGGGGGACGTGATAGGGAACCAATCAATGTTTCTCTTGCACATTGGTGTT